CATTAATAAACCCTCATGCTAATGCGATTTTTAATCCTCCCAGGTTTTGTTGATGGTCTGCCATTCCATATGGAAATATGAGTTTTTAAGAATAGTTTTTCCTTAGTAGTTAAAGTGCCCTTATTAAATTATCGCTCTAAATATTAGATAATAAAAATTAGAAATAAGTTGTCTAAACCATCGATTACAACGATTAAATAATTGGAAATTCAATGTTTCTAAACTCGAATGTCATTTAGAACGTCGTTTCTAGAGCGCTCTCAATCAATTGAACAATCTTCGGAAATTTAGTCTTTTTGCGATTTTAAGTGGGGTATATTTTCCATTGCAAGCTGATGCCTCTATGTCGGCGTCAAAAGGAATGTCAATAAATTTAATTTAAAGAAGGGCACCACTCATCTCAAGTGGAGATTAAAAGTAGCCTCGATTTTGCCTATTTTCAGAAGGCAGTTCACAGCTGGAAGATTGTTCTCGATACAGGCGGTCATTAGTGGTGTGAAATCTCGATTATCATGAATGTCAATATCCGCGTCATGATTGCATAAAAGCTCAAGAATATTTCGATGGCCTTTGCCTATTGCAGCATGAATCGGTGGCAAGTCTTGTTTATAGTTTTGATTCGCAGTATGTGCATGCAACGCATGGACTACATCTTTGTGGCCTTGAAAAGTAGCCTGTAGGAGAGCTTGATTCCGTTTGCACTCTCTATACGCACTATTATCCTCAGCATGGAGTAGAAATTCCACAGCTTTAGCTTCGTTCTAGATTAGTAAACCAATGAATTGAGTTAATGCTAGTTATTGAAATCTGAAAGTGCGTTGGCTATCACTTCGATAGTTGATATTAGAGATGAACTTGTCGAAGGAAGTCCGTTTTGCTTGTAAGATGGCTTGCCTTAGGACAGCTGATTGTCGTCTCCAGGCTTGAACGTCTTCCGTTCTTCCAGTCTGATCAGCAGTGTTGCGAAGGGCGTCCCTCTTTCTTTTCAGTTCCTCAAGGTGTCTAGACCAAAATACTCGATAGTGTTTAGCCTTGCCTCGGGGAATAGTTTTCTTTGCACATCTGATCATAATATTCGTGATAGCAGTGCAAAGTTTGTCAGGATGTTGGTTGAAGTTGAGGGGACTTGTGTGAAGTTCGTTGTCTAAAATTTTAGTGAATCTAGACCAGTCAGCCTTCTTGAAGTTCCATGATAGCTTAGTTGGCATTTTCCTTGTCATGCTTTTGCTGCCGATGGTAATACTAGCAATGACTGGTTTGTGACCAGAACCAGGATCGTCAATTATTTTTCGGCGTGTATGCTCACTGATGTCGCTTGAAGCCAAGCGTAAGTCAGGAGTTGTTCTGGTTCCATTGTAGTGCAAATATGTAGCCGGATCCGCATTGTTGTAAATAAGTTCCAGAGGGTTGTTGTTTAGCATGTCTTCAATTTCCTTTCCAGCTATGTTTGTATCCTTGTAGCCCCATCTGGTGGAATGGGCGTTGAAGTCTCAAAATACTATAGTTTTGTGTGAGATGTTCAGAAGGTCAAAGTTGGGACAATTCTGGGGTGGATTATAGACTGCATATACCTTGAAGTGGTTTTGACATTTCCAAACATTTAATCTGATTATTTCACATTTGTCTTGTGTCGAGCTCATACTCTTAATTAGATCGTAGTGTGAGGTGAGGCCTTCTTTTACTCCAGTTAGAATTCCACTTGCAACTTGCCGGTATTTAGGTAGATTGTACAGGGTGTAACCTGGGAAGTGGTAGTACTTCAGTTTGTCATCCGAAATGTTTGCTTCCATAATTGTGAAAATGTCTACATCATAAGTTTGTAGGATTTTCTGTACTTGGATCTTTTTGTCCGGAGACATTCCTCCAGCATTCCACTGGAGGATCTGAAGACGTTGTGATTCGCCCTGACGAGGGCGATTTTTCTTATGGCCTTTTTTAAAGCTAATCATAATAAATTGAAGTCAAAATTGCCGAGTGATAGACTTTTTTGACGTAAGAAAATACGTTTCCAGGGTGCACCACGTGGAGGTAAGTCTATCGCGCACCTCACGATATATATATATATATATATTTAAACAGTTAATAGTTACACTGAAAAAATCATACAAAGGCAAATTAAATTCATCAATATTAAAATGAAACTATCAGATTAAAATAAAGTAATGTACTCAGAAATCGTAATTCCACCAATTTATCGAAAAATTTATGACCACTGGACTGCTTTCCTTCACTCATATTTCACCAGCACCTAACGATTCTTAAAGTGCAATAGCACCTAACATTGTTTAACATGAAATATTAGAATTTGTGCATAAGAGCACCTAGTTAACAGTGCATTCCACATAGAGATATCAACATGGCTTAGCAGGCCTGAACGCTCAATTGGGGACAAGTGTGAGAATACAAAGGTACTTAAGCGAAGTTAATTGTAGTGCCCCCTGAATTGCGCAGCGTCATTGATGGTAATGTTATAATGTTCTGCAATATCACTGGGGATTACTGAAGTGAATTATACAGGAGGAATCATTGACAGAATTACTATAACAGGTTTCGCCGAACCGGTTTTTCTTCCATAAAACCGCTACCATTGTTAATGGACCTACCCGTTGTAACACCTGTGTCAGCATTCACTATTCCTTGAGAGAAAACTGCATGAACTATCTTTGTTGGTCACCAAGTATAATTGGATCCAGTTTTCCAGTTGGTTTCTCAACGATTCTTGAACATTTTGAAACATTCAAATCGGAGCCCTCGACTACTACAAATGAGACATTAGTTGGCACTAAAGCAGAAATAAGTACACCAACAAACACTTGCTCACGAGAATGCATCAACGTTTGTCTCACTCTCATAATTCTCCTCTCAAACAATTCAAATCACCATGCTTGCATAAAACCCAATGTCATTTTCCAATCACTATAAACTTACTAATTGGCATAATGCACAATTTGAATGACGAAATTGAAGAAAAGAGAAAATGGTAATTAAAACTTTTAACAAATGCATAATTGAGAGCAGAAAATGTTGTGGAAGTCCTACTTGAACCCACTCAATGAGTGCATTTGATGACAACTTGAATGAACACACCAGTACTCATAGTTATCAAAGCATTAGCCCATTTTGTCCGGTATAAGCACTGTCCTAGATGGAATGGTGAGTACATTTGAACTGACGGGTTTATGAACACATTTCTTTCGAAAAAATAAACCAATAGAAATAGAACTGAGATTACTTTTAAGATGAGTTCAACTTATTGCCATGTTACATAGAGCACGAATGAGCGAATTGGTCACTCAGAGGAATTGCGAATTCGACACACAAAAAGCCAATAAATGCCGAAATCGAGATGAGGTGATTCATAAATAGTAAGTTCTCCAATTAGTGACATAGATGACAGGTTGAATAAATTTATATCCCTTATAAGACACATGGGAACAATTGCTTGAATTATGCAGTGCAATGCATACGCAATAAAGGAATTTGCATCTCCTTTTGCCACACGTGTGCACTATATGATGTGTAAGCATGAATCAATATCCTCTCTAGGCGGATTGGACAGCAATTTAGTGAAGTCATTTGCTCACTCCCTCAACGTCTTCCAGCTTCTCTCAACTCACCAACGAATGCAAGTCACACCTCAGCGTGGTACATCCATGTATGCGTAAGCCAATGGACTGTATTTATTTCAGAAAGAAACTACTACAAACGCCTGCAAACCACAATGTGTTCGCCAATGGATATGGCGAACAGCAAATCACTGATGGCTGTCGAATTGTGTAAGATCAGTTGAAATGTGAATGTTCAACCGACTTCTTTAATTTCTTACATATTTCGAACCTAAATCTAAGTGAGCATCACTGAGTGGGTTGAAATCGAAGGAGAACACATGATTCTCAATATGTGGTGGAAAAAATAATGATTGAGTTGTTGGCATTGATCATACATGCAGTGCATTCATGAATGACCATTATTTTGAAGCAAATGGGCTTTGACGTTCACCATGTGGACAACAATACTCACAGTAGCCAACAGCTTAAAGCTCTTTCTTATTGCAAGCATAATTGGTGATCACGCACACTGCTCAAGCCGTTCTCAAGCAAACTGCAGAAATCTGCAGTAGTTTTGCGGCACGACCTATCACATAGTATGCAAGTGCAGCAGTGAATGATGTGACCCTACAGTCTTCATGAAATCGATATTCGCTTCAGCCATTTATTGCGTGATCCACAATCTATTAACAATATTCTTCTCAAGTTCCTCCTTGCTGTTGAGGGAACTTAGTAAATTTGGGATCGGTTTTATACCAAGTGGGTTTTGACAGATTAGATTGTTGAGGTTTAGTCATGGCCAATTTGTGTAGACTTGGCAACATAAAATCATGTCTAAACGAAACAAAACATAACAAAAATTACTTCAATTAAAGATTCCGTGGTTTATTCATTGCATTGTCTTATAAGGTAGATAAAATATTATTGATTATTCTGAAATTAAAGCAAAAAAATAGATTGTTTTATTTTTTTGCTAATATCTGTAGTGGATTGCTACGCTTGTAATGCCTGACTGACTCAGAAATCTCTATGGCAGATTCTCCAACCTGACTCAGAAATCTCTTTGGCAGATTCTCCTACATCTAGACCGACTCAGAAATCTCCATGGCAGATTCTCAAACATCTAGCTACCGGCTCAGAAATTTCTATGGCAGATTCTCCAACATCTAGCTAGGAATCAGAAATCTCTATGGCAGATTCTCCAACCTCTAGCTAGAGAACAGCTAAGCTATAGCTCAGCTATAAAGAAAACAGACGTGTAGCACGGAGCGCGTTTATATCTGTGGCAGATTCTCCTACATCTAGCTAGACTCCCAGAACAGCTAAGCTATAGTCCAGCTATAAGGGAAACTGACGTGTAGCACGAAATGCGTTTATTCGGTACGTATATTGCATATAAAGGAAACAGATGTTTAGCACGGAGCACGTTTATTCTACAGAGGATACAGACGTGTAGCACGGAACATTTATTCAGTAGCGGAAAACAGACGTGTAGCAAGGAATACGTTTATTCGATACGGAGGAAACAGACGTGTAGCACGGAGAACTTTTATTCGCTACAATGGGAGTTTCGCATAATTTATTTAAAGATGACCGTGAGTACCTTTTGTTAGTTTATCGCGTTAAAAAGCATCATATATTAATATTAAATATTTCAATTTAGAATTTTATCTGGTGACATATTTTATAATGTAAGGAAAAGAATGAAACTTTGCCCAAATTTGGCAGTTCTTCTTTGACGCTTTCAGGAGCAATTGAAAACGGAGATGTTGTTGCTCGTCGTGATCTGCTCAAAGCAGAAGTGAAAGGACAAATTATCGATGGTTTTTTTTACTATTTCGGTTCGTTGACCTATAGTTTTCCTCCATTTCAGCATTCTCCAAATGAGTATGAATGGGACGCTTGAACTA